ATGTTCACTTTTACCCTTTTGTTCCGCCGTGTGGGTACCAGGAGGGGAAGTCAGCGATTGAAGGTCATCTCTGGGGGTCGTTTCCCAGGTAGGCTCTTCATGCAAGCTAGTATCTTAAACTCATTACAGTAATCTGGGCGTCCCAGTTCAATGTACAGCGTTTGTGCTACTTCTTCTTTTCGCCTGACGCAGCCACCTCCCAGAGGGAGACGTCGAAGTGTGGCGCGGCGCAGATTTGTTGGACTATCTGCGGTCTGCCTGTAAAACTCGACTGGTCCCGTGGTCAGAGAAGGGGGTCACTCCCTGGTGACAATGTGGTCCGGTCCTCTTAGGGAGCTGCAAGACTTCTTAACTTGATTTCAGCTTTGTAGAGAAAACGAACTAAAATGACGCATGAGTTACAATTAACTTATTTAATTTCTATAAAATCAAACTCAGGTGTAGAGTCGATGTTAAATGGTGGCTGTACGTTAAACCAGCGGGAGATGCAGAAGGGCCACCATCCTGCCCAGCCCATGGGGAAGGGCTGGCAGGCTGGGCCTCTGCTGAGCTTCTGAAAAGCTGTTTCTGGCTTCTGATGTTGAAAAACTCTCTTTCTCTGTCTTCTTCTAAGAGATTGGGAGTGTGCTAAGCTTTTTAAAACCTCTGTTTTGGGCGGAGTCAAGGTTTTAGTTGGCCAATAGAAATGTTACACCTTATACAGGAAAAGTTTTTTAACAAATCAAATCTGTTTCGGAGGGAAAACTTTACTTCAGGACAAAGAAAAAGGGAGTGTTTTAGTTTAATTATCTTGCATCTAATTGAAAGGGAGAGAGGAACTATCTGGGCTTTGCCTCAGGGATAAAATTGTCACAGTTAATTATTAAAATTCAATCCTAAGTTTCTAAGGATTAAATCATGGAATAAAACACACACTGTTTAAAATCATGAAATAAAATAAGCCTTCTTCAGGAGTCCATCTGTAAACAATTAAACACAATACACACAACTATTGAATAGTTAACTAAGCAAAACTTAGTAGATCCTTTATGGTCTTTTTAGATCTTTTCTGTAAGAAAAATGGATTAGATGACATTCTTTGCAATAAGACAGAAAACATTAGATACACAGATTCTTTTATCTTTTCTCCTTTTTTCACATTTAATGAAGAATGTAGGTCCTTTGTTCTCAGTCACGCCGAAGAGTCTGGTTAAAGGCATTTATGGTCCTTTTGAAGAGGAACCAACAGTCTTGTGCTTATGGGGGTTGGAAGCAACAGAACTTGTGGGGTTCGGAACAGGAATGCGGCAATTCTTATCTATTAATGGCAGGGCGTCAGGACGTCTGGTGGGGGTTTGTGTGAGAGATGTTAATTCGAGCCACAAAGGAAGTTCCATGCAAAAATCTTTAGAAATAGTGTGAAGTCAAAGTGGAGGTTTTCTTCCTTCCTGAGCCGTTGTCATAGGACCAAGTGAAATCTAATCAGAAATGATTTATATGCAGGAAAATGCTATAATTGCATGCCTTATATATATTTCTGTTCATATTTTCATTAAGAGTTCTTATAAACTTTACAGAATCAACCCTTATTGTTCGCTAATGCTGATTCCAGTCACTAGCCCAGTCTGGTTAGCACTGCGGTTGTGACAGTATCACACAGTCAGCTGGTCAACCCTCCCTCCTGTTGTTCCATTTAACTCCATGTTAAACTCAAACTGAGCTAACAGCTCGTCTGAATTCAGTTGAGACAAAACTTGATTGCTGGTGTCTTAAAACAAGTCAAAACTGCTCAACTTTACAGGGGTTTTATACAAATGTTAAGCTAAACCACACTCAACTTTGCAGTAGTACGTACAGTTCAATGGTTTTTTTTTTTTTTTTTTGAAGTGCATAGTGGCAGCATTAGCAGCTCGGGGACATTTTAGGTGAGAATTTCATTTTTCTGCCAGAATAATCATTTAATGCCAAACTGATATTAGAAAATAGTGTTTGTACAAACCAGTATAAAATTATAGAGATTAAGAGTAAGCTATTCACTTCAGTCTTGGCCTTGTTCAAAGCTTATCAATTCATCCAGAAACTATTCTCCAAACTGCATTCAAATAGCTGTTTACCTCAGGTAGGATATTAATAGTTCTTAATTTTTCTTCTGAAATCTTCTTCAAAATGTCTAAACTAATCCTTTAAATATACTGGAGTTCATATGTGCAATTCTACTGCTGCCTCCGCTCCTTTTAGCCAAAAGTGTGTGTGTGCTGGAAAAAGGTAATATTTAAAGGAGATTTTACAAGAACTTTTTTACAAGTGAGTGAAGCAGTAGCTGAGGAATTCCAGCAGGGGTGACCCTAAAAACTGTTTTCCCTCTCTTTATTCAGGGAGATTGTTCTTTTTTTTTGTCGACAGCATTTTCAATAAGTTTATGGAAACAAAATAAAGTATATATTTTTCTGGCAGGTGACAGAAACACTGGGCGTTGATGCCGCCTTTGTATTATTGCAGCTGTCTGACTTACTCCTGAGCAAAGGCGAACTTCAAAGCCCTGGCTTCCCCTACCAGACGGCGATCAGAACGTACAGTAGAGACATTCTTGAGGGCGTGATTGGCAGGAACAAGAAAAGGAAGCGCAAACTTTTAAACGGCTCCAAGTTGTGGAAAAAATGAAAGAGGGAGTTTTTTGTTTCCCCCTCTGAAGGCTGGAGTCTGATTTCCTGTGCGGCTGTGATTGGGAAAGCAGAGGCACGCACAGGGAGGCCGACTCTGTATGGAGAAGCCAGATGACATGCTACGCTACGACGGGGCTGCTGCCTAACAGCACACTGAAGTGGCCTTCCACTGGTCCTCAGAAAGGCCTTTTATACAAAACATCCTCTTGTGTAAACTTATCTCAGATGGTGGAAATTCTGGATCCAAGTGTGGACCTGTAACAAACTACAGCATACTTTAGCTGGAGCTTTTAGATGAATCGAAAAAAAAAGCACAAATATTGGTACTGTAACATAAAAACACACAAGCCCCCGGCCTCTTTATGTGCTCTGAGCACAGCGCCGGCTGTGTGTGCGGAGGTATTGTCAAACATTTGTTCCTGTTCATCCATGTGCATCACCAAGTGGAGAGTGTGCTCAGCAGGAGTTTGTCCATAAGGCCATATGTGAGCTCAGCCTCTCCTCCTCCTCCTCCTTCGCTTTTTGTCATCTGAGTGACCCCGAGATGCACCACAGACCACACTGACCCCTGAGAGACTCCGGCTTATTGACCAGCTCACAGCTCCAAAGAGTCCATTACCTAAACCAATTTAAATCTCTTTTGTTGAAGCTTTTTTTTGTTTCAGTGACCATTTCCTTAATTCATTTATCTTTGATTTTGTGTTCAAATCTTATTCGACTGAAAATAATGCTGTCACACAATCCACTTTCTTTTTTTTTTTCACCAGCAGCAGATTTATTTTGAATGTCAGTAGCCGTTCTGCTTCAAAACTATTTTCCTTCTGTGACTGTGGCAGTGATTGTGGTGAGTGGCTTCTCACCAGATCAGCCTTGCGCTCTGTTTCCAATTCTGTTTGTGCACACAGAAACTTTAAACTTTGTTTTAATGTATAAGAACTGCAAAAATTTTCTCTGTCCCCGTTAAATGACGTCTAATAAAAAAATGTGGGCTAATGCCGTGCATCTGATGTTGGTGTATGGTGAAATATTGCACAGCAAACTGAGTGTGACAGCTGCTCTTGGCAGGGAGAAACAGGGGAAACGTACAGGAGCTTTATAGGTGTCGCTAGCATCCAAGGTTCTCCCTCTTTTGTGAATTGTGCCTTTTTTATGCATGAATTCAATCGCTATTTCCCACAAAGAATAACCAAGGACAGCTTCTATTGACGGAGACCCAGGCAGCATGGCGCTGCAGCAGTGGACCGTGCTGTCACATGAATCTTTTCAGCTCATTAAAACCCATTTAAACTGTGATAAACTCGGGCATTGCAGGTCTAACAGAGATGAGGCGCTCATCTGTTTTTATTTATGCCGTCGCTCGCTGCCAAAAGTGACGCGACAATAATGTTTTTGCCCTTGTATGCATGTGTGTGTTTGACTCTAACCTTATCTAAATATATCATGGACCAGTGAATGGATTTGAATAAAACACTCGGAAAATAATCATTGATCATCTGCAAGAAATTAACTTTTGGAGTCAGATTCAAGATGGCCGCCACATCTGAGCTACCTTAAGAGAACACAAAACATGTCCACAACTCTGATAGTTTCAAAGATATTCATCTCTAATTGGGTGTGTTAATAGCTAATACTTCTCCCCAATACATACTCTGAACACTAACTGATCAGGTGAGATCAGTTTCTTAAAACTTCATTATGAACTGCTGGAATCAGCTCTGTCTGTTAGCAAAATATTTCATGAATCGTTTGCTGGATTTTAAAGAAACATTTAGATATTGGTCACTGTATGAGCATCCACAACTCAATAAACTTTAGAGTCAACCCAATTCAAGATGGCCGCCACAGCAGATTACACTTATGAAACACACAAATGCCTATAACTCAATTAATTTTCCAATTATTGAGCAAAATTTGGTTGTGAGTTTAGGCTGAGAGTTATCCCAACTTATGCTCCAAGAACCCCATTTGACGTGATTTTTTTTTTGGCATAAAACCTTGGCAATAACTTTTTTCTTTAACATTTTCTGTCTGTTAGCAAAATATCTCATGAAACACTGGGCAGAACGTAATGAAACTTTCAGGTAGTAATGGTTGGATGTACTTTTACAACACATTGGCATTTGGAGTCAATTCAATTCAATTACTGACATTAACCAACATAAAATGTCTTTAACCCATTCTGTTATACAAATACTAAGTTGAAGTTTGTGTCGTAGTAGCTGAGAGTCATTCCCATGATATTTTGTGAGAGCTAATCCACACACCATCACATTAAATCCTCCAAAATGGCTCTAACTGCATTATTTCTCACCATAAAGTGAGTTTAACTTGAAACTCTGGCAGAAAAAGCAGCAGGCTGATTGTTCCAATATTTTAATGAAACCAGATTTATCGCTTTGTTCCATAAGGATGTGTTTGGTGACATCAGTCCTCGTTCTGCAGCTGAGGACAGAGTGTCAGGACCTGGGAATAAGGCACCAGAGCACAGCCCGCCTCCTGCCTGCCTGTCAGCTCTGTGCGTAAAACGTAAAGCGCACTTTTTGGCAAGTTGTGGGGGACCGGCGGCGCTATGACCCAGCTCCCTCCTTCCCACCTCCTCCTCAGCTCCTCTCTGCTGCTCCAAGTCTGTAAACTGAAGGAGCGGAGGGGAGGAAGTCACCAAAGAGCTGTAGTCTAATTTGTTGCTGTTGCAGGAATCAGGGTTTCCTTCCAGCTCCTCGCACAAATTCCAGGGATTTTTTTCTCTCTCCTTTAAAAGAAAACGCGTGTTTGTTCCACCTCCTTCCCGTCAATGTAATCTGACTGCTTGTCTCCTCCGGAATCTGTTGTTTCTCCGCTTGGACTTCCAAAAAGTACACATCTGCTGCTGGAAAACGGGAATTTGATCACTGTGGTGAATTCGTCGCACACGTTTCGTCTTCCTGAATCCGTTCTTTTGAGTCCGAAGGGAGCAGGCTGGACATAATCCCGTCCTGGACCAGCCCCAGTTTACAGAGGCGACCTGGTTTTGGAAGAAAAGTTAAGAAATAATAAATGTTCCTCATGCGTCGAGTGGATCGGCTCTGAGGCGCAAATCCGGAGTGAGGAGGACCCCGACTTTGGATTTTTTTTCTTCTTTTTTACGCGCAGGAACCTTTCACCCAAATCTTGCCAGCTGACACCGTGCGTCTGTGATTTACTCTCCCAAGTTGGAGCTGTTGGATTTAACCGCTGTGTGATTTGTGGGACTTGCGCTGTCGCCCTCAGAACTGCCGCAAAGCTGAGACTCGCACACGATCACCATCATCATCATCATCACCATCATCATCATCATCCTCATGCAGCGCTTCTTCTTCTTCTTCTTCTTGGAGAAAATCTGCAGCAGCGGAATCGAGGGAAGTGGAGAGGCAGCATGACTCTGGAGTGCTTTGACTCTATATTCCACTCTCATATATAGCCCGAGATCTTAATGCTGTTCCGTTTTGGTTTACAAATATGATGAAATGGCAGCCCCGGAAGAAGGTGAGTCCGATTATTTAGGGGGATGTGTTGAAGTTGGGGGGGAGCAGAAATAATCTGGCTGTGGTAGAGCACAAGTTGGGAAGAGGAGGGTGGCTGCTCTCTCTATTTGCTTTACAGCCTCCAATTAGTAATCATAATTAATCATAAGTAATAAACTAACGACCTCAGAAGCAGTTCCAGGCTATATATAGGCTGCTACTCTTTCCCCCACTTTGGTTATTTCTTGCTGTGTGTGTTTCTCTGGCCCATTTTATGTGAATTTTAAGGATTTGTTGCTTTCATTATTAGCCCAAATCATAAAGCTTAAAATGTGTTTCAGTATTAATAGTTTTAACCTGTGTGCTCTCATATGTCTGTCCTACACTATGATTTAGCGTCAGATAAGAAAAATAAACTGCTCCAACCAAGACTAATGCAGCAGAGAGGCAGCTTGGGAATTTAAAACTGGTGTCTAAATGAAGCATAAGGTTGTCAGATTAAAAGAAAAAACATACAGTTACATCTAAAAGTTTCAGAATGAACTGAAACATTTTTTTTCTTCAAAGCAGGCTTTTTAAAAAATGTGTCTGGGTCTCTTATTTCCCATCATTTGACATATATTTTCCCTTTAAGTCTGCCTTGTTTTTTCTGTCTCCTGTTTCTTGGTTTTTCGAAGCCTTCGGGTATTACAGCATGGAAAGTATTTGAAAATTCATCTGGGGTCTATGAAAAATTTGGTAGCACAAGAAAAGGTCCAGTTGGATTGTTGTTATTTGGTGTTACCACTAGGGGGCACCTTTCTGACAAGAACCAGCCGGGATTTTTTAACAGGAGGAGGCTTTGAGCTCATCCAGAATTAGAGGAGAAAATGAACAGATTAGTGACTCATTATTTCATCTCTTAACCAATCTTTGTAGCTTTTCCTTGTCACGGCAGAGTTATTAACACAGGCAGGATTCTTTCCTCATGGCCCAGATTCTATTTGTCTTGTTTTACTGCTGAAACATGATTATGATGATGTGTCTTAAACACAGTTCATCATGAAAGAACACTATAGATCAATGCCAGAAACAGAAACCACTCCTCCAGTCTGAGTGGACTACCGGGTGCTGGATTTTTCTAAATTAATGTGTCTGTGTTGGATTTTCCCCCCATATCATCAACTATTAATAATGTGCATAATCTCCTCCTGAAAGATGATCTGAAAGTTAATCATCAAACTCCAGCTTCTTCATGTAGAATTATCAACAGAGATCTAGTGCTGCGAGCATGTCCTAATGATTTCCACAGCTGTGCGGCGTATCCGCCAGAGTCATCCACGAGACCCCCCTTTGAGGTCTGAAAGCCCTTCCTCGCTGCAGGAACTGGTTTTCAGCCCTGCTGCAGTGAAAGTAGCGCTGCTTTCCCCACATTTGGAGAAGCTTCTCCCGAGCAGCCTTATTTTATGGTGGCTCTCATCAAGAAGCAAAGCGTTTTCATGAGATGTTGATTAATTAACCTGTTGGTGATGCTGGATGCATATGCATAAGCTCACTGACCAAGAGCAGGAAACACAGACCCACAGGGCTGTGTTCAATATGCACAAAGTGTTTGCATGTGGTTCTCTGTGCATGTCTGACATTGTCCCTTCACCCTGATATCTGGTACACTGCCAAGGATGTCCTCTGACTAAGATATTGCAAATAGCAGGAAGGAGACCAGAATAAAAAAATGCAGCTCTCAGTCCCCACAAGCGATTTTCTTGATGATGTCATGCCTGCTTTGGAAAATTGCACACATCAAATAAATACGTTTGAAAAAGATCCATGATTTTCCCAGTTATTTCTTCTTTATCAGCTTCCCAATCTGCCTCTGCACTACATTTGCAAAGCATTTGGAATCAATAGGAGGTGTAGGAGATTCATATTGATTCAGTGTGAGTGTCCAGTCCACCTTCTCATAATGGATTACACAGAGGAGTCAAAATTCCAAATGTCGAATGCTGAGCGGACAAAGGCAACTCCCTTAGTGCTGCTGGCAGAAACCCTGTCTGTTCTGGTCTGTGTGACCAGCTTTTTATTCACTTGTTGTTCTGAACAGCTGAGCTGATCAAGAAAGACTGAAAAACAATGAAAAATACAGAAGAAGGAGCTTTCTCTCTTTCATGGACATGGGCTGTTAAGGTTAAGTAATGGTCAGGGTTCCTTCAAATAACTTCTTCTTTCATTTAAAACCAATTACAACATGTTGTAGCTTCTCTCAGTTACACGTTTATATATGCTCATGTCTATTAGTGAGACTAAAAGAAACCAGGCTGGCTGGGTATCCAGCTGTGCCAATCAAAGACCTTTCTGGTTGTGCTGCATTTTAAATAGAAAGCACCGTAAGCATTAGAAAACATGGACAAAGGAAAGTTGATGAGTCAGAAGAGGAAGAGAAGGATGCCTGTGAAAAAAAACGACAGCCATCAACAGCTTGTTTAGAGCTCTGTGGCTAAAATGGTTCACACTGAAGCATGCTTGAATGTTATTTATGAATTCTAGTTCATTTCTAAGTTTTGTTTCAGACTTATTTAGCTGAAAACCACAATGTGCTGCTCAAATTCCCATGACTCACACGTTTTCTTGGACAAAATTGCTCACAAAGCTGCAAATATTTCGATCAGAGTGATATTACAAAGTCAGACTCTGCATTTAGGCTTTACATGACTGTGTGGCATCAGGTCAGAAAAAAGCTTGTTTTCTTTGTGTGGTCAAGATCTTCTCGCCTGATTGGGTCTGGTTGTAGGCTTGTTGCAATAAGTAATAAATCAATTAATCACACAATAAGTTAAAATGAGGTTGATAGCTTTCATTTCTCTGCTTGTTTGCTTTCTTTATGTCTCCCTCTTTCCCAGTCCTTAGCATAGGGAGGAGTGAACTCTCATGCCAGGTATTAGCCAGGTGCATGGTTTCATGTCCTGTGTAGCACGAGAGCCATGTGAACAGGCAGGTTTTCTGATGTCTTCGTTTAGCTGGTGATGCCTCAGGATGCCCTCGAGGCACCGTGCCGAACCTTGGGTTCGCAGAGAGTAGGTTTTTTTACACTTTGTAAATTTCGTAAACGTAGTAATCAGCGTGCAGATGACTGCAATTATTTTATGAAGCCAGAAGAAGACACATTAAGGATAAATCGTGCCAGCTTGGATAGAGGTGGGTAGCGATGCCACAGCTTCAGTGGCTGTTTTTTGCACTCAATTTGTTCGTAACTTTACATAAATTTTGTAAATTTCCATCAATTTTGTTGGCAGCGTGAGGGTGAACGCAGTTATATTATGAAGCCAGATGAAGATAATAGAGAATAAATTGCAGATTGTGGATAGCGGAGGTGTTAAGCGATTTTACAACTTTGTGTTTTGTTATCTCTATTTCCAGTTTAGGTCAGTTCATAAATATCATAAACTTTTGTAAGTTTTGTTATCGTGACAGGCCGGTCCCCTCAGGTTTCTTTGGCCCCAAACTTTATGGGAACTCTCACTTTCATCATTTGTAAAACATTCCATCTCTGACTGTGTTCATCGGCATTTTACTTCTTTGGATTTGATCTTTTCATGTTGCTTTTCCTCTTTTATTAATTATTATTGATTATTCACGAGCTCACTGATGGGGGGAAGGCGTTTGTAGCCCCGGTGCTTCATCAGTTCCTGTGACACCTCATGGCTGGCAGCAGCACAACAGGTTTAGGAATACATTCACACCGGGAGGGAAGGCATCTGAATGTGAAGAGCATCGCCGGAAGAAACACATCCGAGGAGGAGAAAAAGCTGGTAAAACTGTTACTGGTGGAGGTGGGGCGTGTGATACAAATAACTTCAGAGGAGCCGAGAGAGCTGGAACAAAGATTGAGATATGTCAGGGACCAAACGATTGGGGCCTAGATTTGTAGGAGTGTAGGAAATAAGGAGTTAAGTGTTGTTTCCGTAGATGAAATGGGATTGCTGTAGACACTGATGGAATTTGAGATGTTTGGACGTTGAGTAAAAGAAAATGGAGATGTGTTGGAGGCCGCAGAATAAGATGGTGCAGGTGATAGAGATTTGGATTTTAGGAGTGAGAGACCCTGGAGAGATGCAGCCAGGATAATTAATGATAGGGAGAGATAGCACCTGCTGTTCCCGGTGCTGTGCTGTATTTAGGGCCCAGCGTGCCAAGTGGAACAGGATGTGGTTACGTGGACAGCCTCCTGGCTCATTCTCTTGGTATGAAAATAGGTATGAAGGTAAAAGGAATGAAGAGGGGCAGAGGAGGATTGGGTCAAGGAAAGGGTTTGTAGCTTGGGCAACATCAAACTAGCAGTGCAGCTGAAATATATGTCTTGTGCTCCCTGTTAATCCCAGAACAATGCCTACCTTTGGGACAGCTGGACAGAGATGGAGGACAGAGAAGAGAGTTTCTTGGAATATGGCTTCCCTCTCTATGTAGCAGGCTGCTATACGCACGAGCTGCTGGCATATGCTGCTGAGGCGGTCCCGTGTGTCCACTGTCAAAATACAACAGGAGAGACAATAGTGACTTAGCCATCCGGTGCTCATTAATCCTTATTCCTGGTTCGGGCACTGTGAGGGCTGAAATGGATTTCTGGATCACAAGTAAATACAAAAATTGATTTATGTGTAGAACAGTCGCTTTGTAATGTCCCCCCCTCCAAACGCTAAGAGCTCTCATTTCTGATTTGCTACACCTTTCCTTTTCCTCTCAGTGCTTTTCTTTTAGCAAATGGACTCGTGTTTGAGTTTATTGAGGTCATTGTTCCAGAGGTGTGGTCAGCGTCTCACGGGGGGCTCGCAGGGGTGACTGCGTCTGGGTGCGCCTGCGGTGAATAAAGCAGACTTGACTTGATAGACTGCATCAATTGGAACACATTTCCTTATTCTGTGAGGTGGAATGGTCTTTTTCAAGACTTTTAAGCTCCATTCTCTACGACGGTTAAGCTTTTGGTGTTATGTACTTGGGGTTTAAAAATAATGAGAAAAAGAAAACACACCACAAAGAGCCAGTGTTTCA